TAAAGCTGTGAAGAATCTCAATCTCTTCACCATCCATCCTGATGCTGCCAGTTGGTCCAACGGTGAGAATCTTTGTCTTCTTGACATTGAGCCTCAATCCATATTGTAGGCTGCAGTCCTTGACACTCTGCAGCAGGCGCTTCAGGTCCTCCTCAGTTTCAGCAAGCAGGGTTGTGTCATCTGCATAACGCAGATTATTGATAAATCGTTCACCAATCTTGACCCCACATTTCTCCTCATAGAGCCCAGCCTCTCAGATAATCTGTTCTGTATATAGGTTGAAAAGGTATGGAGATAGGATGCATCCCTGGCATATGCCCTTCCCAATTTTCAACCATGCAGTGTTCCCTTGCTCTGTTCTGACGACTGCCTCCTGGTCCAAGTAAAAGTTTCACATTAGAATGATCAAGTGTTCTGGGATTCCCATTCTTCTCAGAGTCAGCCACAGTTTGTTATGATCTACACAGTCAAATGCCTTTGCATAGTCAATGAAACACACAGATAGACATTCCTCTGGTATTCCCTGCTTTCAGCCAAGATCCATCTAACATCAGCTATAATATCTGTGTACCACGACCCCTTCTGATACCAGCCTGGACTTCTGGTAGTTCTCTGTTGATGTGCTGTTCCAGTCGTTTTTGGATAATCTTCAGTAAAATCTTGCTTGTATGTGAAATCAGTGAAATTGTTCTGTAGTTTCCACATATAACTTCTATGTCAATTATAATAATTTTAATCCATGAACTTTTTAATGACACTGTAACAAATAAGTGGGAACTGAGTGGACACATGGGATAGGAACACATAATGACTCGAACTTGCCTGCTCCCACATTCTCACTGATACTCAGAAGTCATGGGAGGAAGGCAGTAGTCAGTAATCCGTTTCCGTTGGTTTCAAGGCTATTTTTTCCTCTAATACTTCAGAATGATTAGTCTCATCTCCTTTTGTTAAAAAAGGCAGCTATATGTAAATTTCAGTACAAACAATAAACAGAACAGGAAAAAAAAAGGTAAAAATGCTTATTCCCACTACATGTGGCCATACAGACTGTCAATATCTTCTAATAGATTCATCCTGAAGAGGGTGAAACCAGGCTGCTCCTCGGAGGCAAGGATTCTGAAGCTCTGTCTGATATACTGTGAGCATGTTGTAAAGAGGAACCAGTCCTTGGAGAGGGACATCATGCTTGGGAGGGTGGAGAGACAGTGCAGGAGGGGAAGACCCTGGATAAGATGGATTGACTCAGTGACTGAGGTAATGGGGGTAGGTTTCAGAGACAATAATGTTGGCTTAGGATAGATAGAGCGGGGTTCAGAGCTGTTCCACACAGGGTTGCTGTGAGTCGCAGGCGACTTGATGGAACTTAAAACAACATCCTCTAACCGTATTTATCTTTTTAGGACTGTTTGCTCAGATATAAGTCCTAACCCCCCAAAAAAAAACAAACAAAAAAATCAAAACAAACACCCAACCCATTACTGTTGAGTCAATTCTTCTATCGAGCAAAGACTGTAAATCTTTACAAGAGAAGACTGACCATCTTTCTCATGTGGAGTGGCTGGTTGATCTGAACTGTCAACTTTTTGGTTAACAATCTGACATGTGACACAGGATGTTTTTCCATTTTTACTCAATCAAACTTGCCATATGTTCTAATTAAACAGATAAATCAACAATTTTAACATGTGACTTCTAGATGAAAACTAATGAGGCACACAGCTTAGAAAAGCAGGACTTTGACTCAATTTTCACTCCAGCTTCTGTCCCCTTTGCTTTTTGCTTTGAAAATGTTTACCTTAGTTTCCATCTCCACTAGCTCATGGCCCCCTCCAATTGGCCTGTACATACTTTCCCTCCTGTGAACTGTGCTGACAAAATAGTCAATCACTTCCATGTGGAATAATTTAATGAAGACTTCCTGGAACCTTTTCTGAATTTTAAGCTGCACTCCAACACATACCTTCTCTTACACCTTATCCTTTTTCCTTAGTGTTACTTATTTCATAAAGTTCCCACACACATTTCCAAACTTGGGAGTTGCTTCTGTAGTAGTAGTAGTAAGAGTCACTTGCTAATCTCTTCATCACTACTCTAAAATCATCACAAAGGAATCTTTAATGTAATTTTTAAAAAGTGTCTTTGCTCAATGAAAACATACTAAAGATACCTGGGCCAGTCCTGTTCCCACCAATGGCACTGCCAGTATGAAATGACACCACATAGAAATTTTGTACTTCCTATTAAACGGTGTAGTCACCTCCTCGCCTTATTCAATCTATTATCACGTTTTACTGATTCTACATATTAAAGATTTCTTGATACTTCTTTTAGCTTATTCCATCATCAAATTCTCCTAAGTGATACAATCTCTAACAAAGAAATCTCTATCTTCTAATGGGAGCTCTAAAGAGCGCTCTGGTAGTCTAGTTGGTGAAGAGCACGCTGTTAACCCAAAGGCAAGAGTCAAACTCAGAAGCCATGCGATGGGAGAAATATGGGCAATCTCTTCCTGTGCTCTGAAACCCTTCTGGAAGGTCACTTATGAGGTGATTCCAACTCGGTGACATGTAACCACAAGAAAAGCCAATCACATACTCTAATGAGATGATGAGATGCATCATCCCTATTCTAAATCCTTCATTAGTTTTCTCATGTTCTTAAAATGCAAAACTCTAAAGTGGTCAAGAGGTCATTTTCAATTTGGGACTGCCCATCTCTTAAGAACCAGAACTTTCTCCAGACATTCTGTTAATTTTCTCTTCATTAATGTGCCATCTCAGGGCTTCTTCACATAATGTTCATGCCTCCTTCTTCTCCACCTTTATTCACACTCATCTTTTAGATGAGCTTTCAGCCTGAATGTTTCTTCCTCAAGGATGCCTTATTTGGTCTCCTGCCTCAATAAAGAAAAGCTCAATCTTACATGTTCAATAAAGTTTGTTATTTAATTTTCCTTTTATAATACTCATCCCACACAGAGTTTCAGTATTTGTCTTTACTGTCAGCTGAAGCAAAGTATAGTGGCTATGATCAGAGACTATGGAGGTAGACTGCATGGGTTTAAATCACAAATCTAACAGTTACCAGCTAGATGACAAATCTAACCTCTTTGATTCCGTTTACTCATCTGAAATACAAAGATAATAACAGTACCTATTTTTTAAAGTTATCATACGGATGATGTAAATTAACACAAAAGAAAGTGTGCAAAGCCTACCATTAAGGTCAAGTGCTCTTCAGAATAATCCTGAACAGAAGGGGGAAAATGCAGGATAGAATTTATAGAATTACACAGACTCCACAGAGCCAGAAAGACTAGAGAAAGTTTCAAAACTACTGTCCTGAGATAATCTTTAAATTTTAAATAAGAAATATACCCTGGCATATTTTAAAAAAAAATCCTTAGCATCTTTTTAAAACTAAAGAAGAGTCTAGTTTAACTTGTAAAAATGCCTTGAACATTATGCTCTTTGAAGAATTATTTATGTAGGTTTACATTGACAAAACTGATAAGATAGTAATCTAAGGGACAATGAAATTATGTTAATGGAGGAGGAACAACACAGAAAAGAATGAGAATGGTTAAAAACTTGAATACTATCACCAATGTCATTCAAGAACTGGTGTATGTTTTCCTGAAGTAGACATACATATATGGCCTAACCACTGATTGAACTTAGCTTTACATATGTCTTAGAGCCTTGGTTTTTTGTCATTCATAAAATGAGGATAATAATACATAGTACACTTTACAGTTTTACCTTAATTTAATCATTCATCAATTCTCAATAGTAAATATATAAAATAAAATGTTTCATTTCCTGGTCCTCAAATTAATATACTCATCCATCCATTCATTCTCAAAAGCTGAAAAACTACAGTAATACTTGTTACCTGAGATGTTGAAGACTAAGGCCAGAATACAGACAGGAAGGCTTTCTAACTTACTTTAAAATTAACTGATTATTTGTTTGAGGAGATTGTTTAAACGAGGCGTATCACACACTCAATAAGGCTATATTTAAGTTCTCAATACTGCTTAGTTTGCATACATAAACTTTTCAGCCAGCTGAAGCTTATGGTTTTGGTGCTAGTTTTTGTTTTCTTCCCCTTAAATTTGTAAAGTATATTAGACAATAATCTGTCCTTTTAAAGAAGAGAGAATTAATACCATTCTATGTTATTCATGATGATTTAATATCATTAACCTGTCACAATAAACAGTGTAATTCTAGGTTGTGAGGTAAGACAGAAGATTTATTTACCCTTATTAAGTTATTCTGATTCTAAATGGCTACTTTCTAAAATTTTGTTACTTTTTTGGTGAATTTTCCTTTTTATATCCTTTTGAGCTGGCCCTTTTGTCAGAAAGATATCCTCTACCAGTCCAGCTCAGTCCTAAGTTTGACTGTCCAGTAAGAATTTGAGAACTAAGTAATCTCATCAGTTTGTGCCTAAGGATTTGAGGTTGGTTCTGTATCTATCCTCCATTAAGAAGTCTAAATAGAAGTGAAAAGTATTTTCCATTCTAATTTGGTGCTCTGGGGCCTCATCTCTTGGTTTATAATTTATTTTAAAGCTCTTAGATGTCTGACCACTAAGTAATGAAACCTAAAACTCTCGATCATTACGAATTCTACATTCTAATGATCTTTCTAAGTAAACGACTATGTCATTTCACTTTACATCCAAGTTCCATACAATTCTGTGATGAATATATTTTTTTAAAAGGATATTGTTGGTATCCATTATAATAATATTGTAAAGGGGAAAAATTCAAATTTGGCATAAGGGGCAAATAGAAATTAAGCCTGTATAGAAAGCAATTTGTATAGTCCAAGGAGGCTCTTCTTAAATGCTAGAGTAATTTAGGCCACTAAATATTGACTATTAGACCATTCATTGAAATAAAATGCTATGAGAAAGCAAAAGAGCTTGGTTTATGCATAAATCTATGGATGGATGGGCGGGCATAGCACATCTCCTGTTGCACGCACCCTGTTGCTCGTCAAGTGACATGGATCCGAGCTGTTTGTTAACCACAGAAGAAGGAGAATCTGAAACAAAAATGAGATTTCAACTTAAAAGTAAGCAGCAGAAGACTGCACAGCAATGTCATGATCAACTCTAAGCTTAAGAAACAAATGTATAAGGGTAGAAAATAGAGGCAAGTACTATGGTGTGCTTCTCAAGCAGTGAGCAAGCGGGGCCATGTGCTTAAGAAATGTTATTCCAGGCAAGCATTTAGCAACTTTGAAAAGGAGCTGAGAAAAGTATTTTTTTCTAGTACCATGCACAGATCTTTTTTCACACTCATTTAGCACAGGCAGAAAGGGCAAACCAGATAATTAGAAACGGAATATCCTGTTCACTAAATGGAAGACTCCTTGCCATTTCCAAAAACCTCTCCAGCTCCTTAACATGACTTTCATCCTGCCTTGCAGGATTCAAGACATGAAATGAGATGTTCATGATACTTTGCTTATGTAATTTATTAACACTGCTATATAAACAAGGAGCTCAAGGTAATGTTATGGAAAAAATAAAATGCTTTATAAGAGAAATATTTAATGAAGTAATTACCATTAGGAAAATATAGATAACTTAAAACTCTCTATAGTATACTGTGCATATTAAAGCTGTTCTCTGTGAAGGCAGACTCCTTTTCAGGTGGTTGATAGGAAAAAGAAAAGAGAGGCAAATGAGGGCTTAATGGTCTCAAATTTATACTTTTGATCTTGGCTTCCAACAGACTAGTTTTGTATTTATCCTTTTAGTATACTGATTTTTTGTAAAAAAAAGTCTCATAAATGGTTCCTACCACTTGAAAATCACTGGGACTGAGGAAAGAAAGCAGCAAAAATTGGAAAAAACATTGGGTTGGGTTTGGAAAATTCTGCTTCTAGACCTAGGTGTGACAATGATTAGTTATATGACACACAAAATTTTACTTCTTATTTCTTCCTGATTAGCTTAAGGACTTGGCAAAAGGATTGTGGTACCAGATGAGAAGAAGGAAAGCAAGCACCTTCCCCTTCTGGCTTACGTTCCAGAGTCACAGTGAGACTACAGGAAAGGGGAAGATGTGGGTGCTCAGCACGGTCCTTCCTCAAATTTACGAATCACTCTTGACATCCCCGTTATCTATTCCTCAGCAAATGCTAAAGAAGTAAAATTTTTCTAAGAAATTTTGCATTTTTGGCTGGTAATCATAGTCTGCTCACAATGACACTTCTTTTAACAGAGAATAATATTTTCCAAATCTATCCCAGGTTCACACCAATTTTATATGATTCACTTGCTTTCATTTGTGTATTTGTATATTTAAAAGTCTGAATCCTGCTACTAGGGCCACTTGTGTCCACCCCTAATCTACAATTTTCCAATAATATCATAGATTCATAGTTATTTACTTCTTACTAGATTTTGAGAAGGCATGATTATAATGTCAAAAAACATGTACTTATCCAACTCAGAGCATCACCTTTATCACAAAGAAAAGGGGATATTATTTCAAATCAATTTCCTATCCTATGCTTGATTTAATTCCCACTTTTTAAATTTCAGAATTAGTTATAACATTCCTATCTACGTTATTTTTAAAGAAAAGATAAGTTGGTTTTTAGAGAGAACCAAAATGTATCCCTTTATACTAAAGGAAACGTAACAAAAATGTAAGGCACCATGAGATAAATACTAAAATCTTTCTAGAAAGTTTCATATGAAATCTTTTAACACCCTTCAAATTTATTACATATTTCACCATATTCTCATTTAATAATTAGAGTCTTTAAAAGACTATAAATTCTATAAGTGGTCCTTTAAAACTATAATTTTTTTCCTATAAGAATTATAAAACATATAATAAATCTTACTGAAATAATGTACATCTTATTTATGTCCATAAAATTTAGAAAAGAATAAGTCACTGTAAAAGTCACACTGATAAGTGACCTGAAAAACTGTCATCTCCACAAATCTATGTATTCACCTTTTTAAAGGATTGAAACTATTGCTAAAGCTGATAATTGAAAAGGTAGCATTAAACCAAAAGAGTTAGTTTCTTGTTTTACAGTCTGTCAAGAAAATCATGTATATCTGGGGAAAGATCTGTTGTTTCTCCCATCTTGAAAATAATTTAAAATTATTTTTTATTATTGCTTACATTCTATTTTTAATTTTGGGCACCATGTAACTGATTTTGGAAGGATTTCTGCCCCCCCATCATATAAATATTTTAAGTAACTTTTGAAAAACTACTAATTCATATATATTAATATTCATAACTACTATTTCAGAAAACCGTTTTCAAGTAATTACTACAATATAACCATCAAAGTAGTTAATATTTACCAAATGCAATTATTAATTAAATTCTGATAGCTATTTGCATATTTTACTACTTGTCTCTGTGAAGTATATTCTATAAAACACTATCACAAATAAAAATGTCAACATATGGTCAAATAATAACTTTTTATAAAACATTTATGAATGATTAGCTTATTGGAAATATTTATAGAGTTATAAGACCACTTTTCAGGTAGAAATAAAGTTTAAGAAAAACTTTATTTAGTATTAAAAATCAGAGTGTCTCATAGCCAACTACCATACAATTTAAAATTTTGTCTTTTGACTTTGAAAACACTTTTAGCCCCCTAGCACCAGCATTTTCTCATTTTTTTTGGGGGGCGGGGGAACACCCACCCAAAAGCACACACATAGAGAAAGAGAGAAAGAGAAAGAGAGAGATAATATTACAGTTTAACAAGAAAGTAACAATGAGTTTTCAGCCAGATTCCATTTAGTTAAAAACTGGCTCAGTAATGTTGTAACCTTGGGAGTTATTTAACTTCTCTAAGTCTCAGTTTCTCCAACTGTAAAAGGAGAAAGGAGAATACTCAATACATAACATTTGTGTAAAAATTTAATGAGCATTTAAAACTACTTAGGTAAGACATGGGAAAAGACCAACTAATTTAATGATTACGTTTACTTGCCTGGTTTTCAGACCTATGATGCTGAATGAAAAAGTAAAGGTAGAAAGCTTTACTGCAAAATACAGAGCATAATATCATGTTTAAAATTCCCGAGATTTCATCTTTTTTTGGATAGGACTCTGATAAGCATTCAAGGTAGTTAACGAGTACTTGCAAAGCTGGGTCAACTTTATTCTGATTTATTAACTGCCTACACTAAAATGACTAAGAGCAAGAATCAAATGAATTCATTTGAGAGAAGTATACTTTATGGACTCTAGGGGAAATCTGATGTGGTCTAGAATCTGCTGGCACAGGATCGGGTAAGTGCTGATTTTCTCCAATATGGCTCAGTTTTGTAAAGCCCCTTTTCAAAAATAATCACTAATATTTTATACCCTTTGGGGTACAAAAATTACTTTTTTTTCCAATCAGCAAAACCGTGCCATAAAGTGAAAAAACAGTTCCTACCTGACCCTCTCTAGACTGGCTCCTTGCTCCAGTGGGGCTCTGTGGTGGTCAGGCCAGAACCAGCAGACTCCACAGGGTGCTGTCACTCTAAGCAGGAGCCAGCAACCCATGACTTCAGGGGACCTGAAATGGAAAAAAAGAGTTGGGCTTAAAATCAGCCATATGTTGAATGCCTCTGCCACAGCTGTTTGGGGCATTCATGTGATAGACAAACATATAGCTCATCAAAAACCCTGAATTATATCTATCAGTTTTATTTGGCCTTAACATGGATATTTTCAAGTAGTAAGTGAGACACTATGATTAAAATAGAATATGCTAAGAATATAATTTTTTAAAAAAACATTTTGTATATTTGTATTTCTTTCCATTTTTAGGTCATCTCTGTAAATTATGGCAGGTCATATTATTTATTAATAAATCAGTAATCGGGAAACTGAGACATAAAGCAGTCAAATGATCTTCCCAAGATCATGAAATCAGAGTCAGAGACAAGAACTCCTACAGTCTAGAAACCACACAGTAATGTGAGGATGGCAAATTAATTTCTTTAAGATTAAAAAGAATCATTGAAAGACTCAAAAGGAATTGTGTGAATTTTAGATTTGCTAAAGCAATAAAAAATACACTTAAAACAACCTAAATAAAGCAAAAAAAGTATACATTATCTCTGAAGGGTTTTAATTTATAAGTGTCTTTCAGACTCTTTTAAGAGAGCAGTGGCTTTTAAATCATGCTTGGAGACACAAAAGTACCTAGGGGATTATTGCTATTATTAAATATTTTATGTTCAAAATTTCTCTATAAGACTCAAAAACCTCACAACTAGGGGTGATGGCAGATAACTAATGTTTAACATCTATCTTCAATAATTCTCTTGAATCAATTTGAAACAAAGCATTACTATTTAATGTCTGAAACATGTTTTAGTCTTGGATTACAAAGAGTAATTACCAATTTAATAGTTAATATTTCATCTGAAATTATCATTAACTTATACCAAGACTTTTCTTATTTTATTCCACTGAAAAGGCAAATTATTTCTCCAAAGTGGTTTGATCCTACTTTCACACAGAAATTAGGCACTGCAGGTTCAGTTAGACATAGTCTCTTAGAGTTTTCAAGAGTCCAGTATTTTGGAAAATAGACTCAAATGCTTGCCAGCCAAGAGACATATAGAATTCTTTCCATTTTTGACAAAATTCTTTATTTCAAAACCACATTAATGTCCCCTTTGAACATCTTATATCTAAAGACTCAAGTAGATAAGAAAACAATAGAAACATCATTTATTGGCATTATAATTACTTATTGTTAATTTCAAGATAACAAAAGTATACTTTTTAATTTGAGAAGTACATATTCTTCTCTTGCTAATATATGAAAACCTAGAATGCTAATTGGCTCCATTAATTTATGAAATACAATTTTAATAAGTAAAATAAAACCTATCCCCTGTTGAATTTCACAATGTTAATATTCTGTATTTCAGTCACTTGTATATAATTAAATGCAGAATTCTGCATGTTACAAATTCATTTTCCCTCATATCCAATGTTTCTTAAATAGACAAATATATAGTTTTTGTTAGCTGTCCTTTGTAACAAACAAACAATTCATTCCTAACTATTCTCAGTTTGACTGCCAAGTAAGTGGTTCTGTGACATGTGAAGGAATTCGAAAGGCACAGTACATAGTGCATTATGCTCCTAACTGAAGGTTTCATATCTCCCGTGGTTTGGATCAACCAATGGCCTTGCAAGAGAAAGATGGTTAGTCTCCTGCTGTTATGATTTACAGCCTTGGAAACCAGATGGAGGGTCAGAATTGACTCAAAACAATGAGTTCAGGGGAGTGGGCTGAGGGGGAGTTGGTGACATGTGAGGACAGAGCAAGACAATAGTAGTACTATTCTTGAACCCAAGATATTATAAAAGCATATGATACAGGTGAACGACTATACCTTGGAGATAACATACTGCGAGTAACAGCACTGTTGCTGTCTCTGCTGTTCAGTCAGACTCGTAGCTGACCCTCCAGCTATGCACTTTTAGAGGCAGTACATCACCCGAGAGTAGACTGCCCATCTTTCTCCCATGGAGCAGCTGGTAGATTAGAACTACATGCTGCTGGGTTGGAAGCATAGTTCCTTCCTTACCCACTAGGTCACCAGAGCTTCCTAGTGACAGCATTAAAGGCCTATCCATTTTAAGAAACGAATATAACATGCTTTTCAACTTCAATATTGGCAAGGTTGTCTATTCAACTTTAGGGTTTTTTTTTTCAAGATTATCACAAATAGGCTTGTTTACCAAACCAGTTACTGATAAGAATGGGAGAGTTGGGAAGTATCCTATTTCAGACCACAGGGAACTCTGGTGGTGTAGTCCGTATGGAGCTGTACTGGTAACCCAAAGGTTATGATGCCCTTCTATGATTCAAGTCCACCAGTGGTTCCTCAGGAGAAAGATGGGCAATCTCTTCCCAAGTCAATGTGTTCAACAGCCTGGGAAGACCAAAAGAAGGTCAGCTATGAGACCATTTTGATAGCAATGAGTTCAGGTTTGATTTGAACCAATCGAAAGGATTCTGAAAAAAACCCTGCTTCAATTCATACTGATAAAACTATTTATGAAGAGCCATTGTTAATGTGTACTGCTGAGCCACTTATAATTCATACAGACCCTCTAAGACAAGGCAGACTTGCTCCATACAGTAGTCAATGCTATAATGCTAATGAAGGCAATTCATTCAAAGCGTTTTCCCCACAGAACAGTAGGTGGGTTTGAATTTCTGAGCTTAATGCTGAACAATCTAGTGTATAATCTGTGCATCACCAAAGCTCCCTCAGAAAAGGCTAAGAATGGTAAAACATTTTTTTCTTACGCCCAGTGTTTCTTTTCCTCTAATGTGAACAGCTTCTTTTTTTGCAAGAAAATCGCTTTAAAATTTAGTTGATGACTTACCTAAAATATCGTATGTATATTACAGGGATTCAAATGTATTTTATTTTAACACAGTACTTTATAATATGTTTTGTTACCATTGGACTTACTGAAACAGCTATATACTAGAAGTTATCTAATAATACCAAGATACAAATTAATTTCATTCCAAGTATTTTAATCAGAGTTTTCCAATTAATATCAAAACTCATCATCCTTAGGGTTGGCAAAGCAAAGTATGTCAAACAAAGTATTATAAACTCATTAGTATGGTAAACTAGACACATTCTGGTTCCTAAATGGAGAATAGATTTACAGTACATATTATCTATCTTCTTGAAAAAAATTATGCTGACAAATTATTTTGTGCTGTATTTCTCATCAATTCTTTCAGTTAATGTTTATTGAGCACCATGAGTTTCTGATCGTGAAAGTGGGTCACTGATAAACTCAATGACAAAAGAGTGACACCAATTATTATAGTATTCTCAGAATTTTAGAATAAAAAGAGAATTGAAACTGGAGAGTGCTTTTACTATCTTATATATCAGGATATTGATCATGTATAGATGAAATTATTAAATAAATATTATAAAATTAAAAATAATCAAAAGATGGTTGAGTTAGCATGCTTGCATATAGTTAAACAACATAAAATCCCAAAAATTTAATATTACTATGTCTGTATAAGAATACTAGTTAATTTTAAAAGAAAAAAAATTTGAATTTCAAAAGTAAGAGTAGCAGCTAGGAGCTATAAGCACAGATATCATTTCAACATATAGAAAATTTCAATGGAAATATCAATGCAGGCTCTAAAGTTACTAGACAATTATTAGTAAGTACTTCATCAGCTATAAAGGTAAATAATGGATTATTTATATTCATCCTTCTGGCAGATGTGGCTGCAAACAGATCCTTCTAACCATGTGATGATGAATACCACCACATGCAAAGAAAGGAGGGATAAGCTGCAAGTGCATTAGCTGTCTTTTTGAGGGGGAAAAGGGAAGCATCTAATTAAACAGTAGCTAGCAATGTTAGAAAACCAACTCTACCAGCTGCTTAAGGACACTTGACATTAATAACCTGAAGCCTGAGGGTCCTGAGAAGAGCCCTCATGAGAAGACTGATCAGAAGTGGAAGGCTCTTGTTGGGCACGTGCAGCTAGCTCTCGCTGCCTCTGCTCCTCAGCTTTCTTAAGCCTCAGCTGTTGCAGGCGCTTACGGAGCAAAGCTATCTCAGGCCCCCTTAAAAATTCTGACACAGATAAGGAAAAAAAAAGATGAAGAGATAGTAATAACATTGAAAATAAAGAATGAAACTATATACCAAAGAAAGAAAAAAAACACATATCATGGAGGAACACTAAAAAGAAGGAATTAGTACTCATTATACTGAAACAAACTAAGTGCACTTACATCCTTATCCACCCAAGCATTTCTCTTTAACTATGACGAATTAGACACATATTTCTCTAAGAATATGTCATAAAATAGAAAAGAAATACAAAATAGGAAAGAAATACAACATTGAAAATACTAGTCATTTCAACTAATCTATTTTTAAAACTTCAAATTTATGAATTTGCTGATTTCACATGAGAAAGAAAGAAAATTCTATTAAAATGGTAAAAAAGCCATGCATTTTGAAACAGTCCATCAGATTTATTATAGGCACTCTTCACAAAGTGAGAGCTACATATTCTTGAATTAATAATGCTATTTTCCACACTGTTAAGTGCTACTGAGTGATCTGAACTCAAAGCCAACAGGGTTTCCAAAGCTTAATCTTTACAGTAGCACACTGTCAGGTCTATTCTCCTGAGAGGCTGCAAGGAGGTTCAGATCATCAACCTTTCAGTTAGCTAACAAATAATTATAAAAATGCTAATATTTTCATACATATTTTTTAAAAAACCTTTACCTGAGGTTGTCATTTTAGATAAAAACTTTTAAAAAAGCATGAAAATCCTACAAACAGATATTCACTGAGTGTCCACTTAGTAAGAAACATTACTTCAGGATCTGAAGATGAAAAAAAATTAAGCAAAAGATTAAAGGTAACTGCTGAGGAGCTGACAAAGGGAAAAACATACCAATAAATACATACATATAATGGCGGTAGGATATGTGTAGGTGTGTGAAATGAAGATAACTATTAAGTAAAATAATGCAGGGTATGGTAATCAGGTTAGTGGAGTAGAGAGGGTGAGAATATGGTCAAGGTCAATAATTCTTTAAGTAAATATTTCTGTGAAAAAATATTTTGAAAAAATACCAAAAGGAAGCAAAGAAGTAATCTTACTAACAGCTGGAGGAAGAAACATTTTAAATGCAAATGGTCAAAAAGAAGAGTGTATCCAGATATGGGATAGAATAAAGAGAAAGATAAATAAGCTTGGTAATGAAATGCATGTAGACTTCTGAGTTAGATGGTGAATTAGAGAGACCCATTCCTTGATAAGACACTTTGATCTCCACCCATAAAGACTACACTACCAACCAAGTCTGGCAGGTAACACTCACTGTAAGCCAGAAAAATTAAAACAAAAACCACCCAATAAAAGACAAACAAAAAATCCAAGCCAGGATAACATGAAACAAAAAGCAATCAAAATACATAACCAGGAAGCCTTTGAGAGGAAGAAAGGCTATTAAGAACTTTCTGATAAGAAATTTAAAAGAATGATATGAAGTGTCTTATTTGGGTTGAGAAAAGTACAGAAAACAGAGGAATTTTTAAAAACTATACAATACCTACCAAACAGATAGAAGAAATGGAAAATTAGAAGCAACACAAAAATAGCAAAGATAAATTCAGAATATTAAGACTAAAATTGCAGAAAGAGATCATACATTAGAAAGACAAAAGAGCAGAAATGCAACACAAAATTTTGTGAATTGAAGGACAAATCTTTCAATACTAATCTCTTAGAGAAATAATCAGAAAAAAAAGAAAAAAATTAAGAAAGCCTAAGAAATATGTGGGACAACATACAGAGCAATAAGTTAGGAGTAACTAGAATCCCAGAACACAAACAAAGTGACCACAAAAAACCAGGGGAAATTACTGAAGATCTGCTGCCAGGAAATTTCTCAAGCATTATGAGAAAATAAGCATTCAACAGGCTGAGAGAATGCACACCATGCAGCTTTGTTCACAACAGCAAATCCAAGTGCCCATCAACAAACAAATGGATAGAGAAGCTGTGGTATATTCACAAAATTGAGAACTATGCTGCATAGTGGCTCCTTGGAAGCAAGGCTTCTGAGGCTCCGTCTAACATACTTTGGACATATTGTGAGGAGAGACCGGTCCTTAGAGAGGGACATCATGCTTGGGAGGGTGGAGGGACAGCGCAGGAGAGGAAGGCCCTCTATGAGGTGGATTGATTCAGTGACTGGGATAATTGGGATGGGTGTGTCAGAGACAGTGCGATTGGCACAGGACAGAGCGGAGTTTAGGGCTGTTGTACATAGGGTCGCTATGAGTCGCAGGCGACTCGACGGCACATAACAACAACAACAACAACAACAACAACAACAACAAGCTGCATTGAAAACCAAGCAACTCATGAATTATTACACAAAATGGGTGACCCTGGAAGATATTATGCTGAGTGAAATATCTCAGTCACAAAAAGAAAAATACGACATAATGCCACTGTTCTAAAACAGGACTGACATAGGGGCTGCGGGGAAACTAAGAAAAGAGGGTATAAATAATCTACACGGCATTGAAACAGACGAGGGAAAGAACTGTATAAAAGGAATACATGATTAAGTATTACTGGAATGACAATAGTCCAGAATAAGAGCTGCATAGTAAAGTGGTCTGGGGTTGGGGTTGGGGACTTCATAACAATGAAAGAACTTTTTCCCAAAAACAAAGGTGATTCATGGAGGAAAATGTGCAACAATGAACAACTGGAAACCCAAGTTCTTTATAAACTTTCATTAAAATATCAATTTTTAAAAAGAGGGAAAACAAACATCAATGCTGGCAAGGTTGTGGAGAAACTGAAACCCTTATTCACTGTTGGTGGGAGTGTAAAATGGTGCAACCACTATGAAAGGCTATATGGTACTTTCTCAAAAAGTTGGAAATAGAAATACCATTTGACCCAGCAATTCCATTGCTGGGAATTTACCCTAAAGAAACCATAACCGTCACCCAAGCAAATATATGCACACCCATGTTTATTGAGGCTTTGTTTGTAATAGCAAGCTGTTGCAGAACGTTGGCGAGGAAGGGAGGGCCTCTGGCCAGGACAGATTGCCTAAGCTCCAGATAAGTACAAGCCTCCCAATGGCCTTTAATAGAGGGTAGAGAAAACTCCCCTGTGTTTGGCTGTACCGGCTTGAGAAAGCTCACCATCTGGAAAGTTGGCTGCTACATCTGTTGAGCTAGGAATGGTCCACACAAGGCTGAGGTTCTCCTAACCAATCCGTATGTCTCACGTCTGTAAGCCCACCCTATCCTGTCTTCCTGCTTACATGCATGTTTACATGCTTGTACGTAAGGGCACTGCAAATCCCAAAAAAATTGAGCTGGATTGACTCAGAGGATCCTCTCCTGGAGTGCTGTATCTCTGTTGTGCTTACCCCCATCAGGGTGTTACTGTCAAGCAGCCAGCGAATAGACAGCGACAGCAAAGAGCTGGAAACAACCCAAGTGCCCATCAACAAACAAATGGATACAGAAGCTCCAGTATATTCACACACTGCAATACTACGCTGCATTGAAAAACAAGGAACTCATTATATATTATGCAAAGTGGATGACCCTGGAGAACATTATGCTACATGAAATATCTCAGTCACAAAAGGACAAATATTGCATAGGGCCACTGTTGTAAAACGGGACTGACATCATGGTTGACAAGTATACACATTCATATATCCTTTTTAAACAGATCTCTCCCTCATTTGTTTGAATCCAATATACAGGAAGGTATAACAAATCCACAAGCATCATAATAGACCATGCATCTCTCCCACGATTTTAAAAATTATCTTAAGAATAGGTGTGAAGCATTGAACTCCATTTATCTACAGCCAGATAAATTATTGATGACATCATTCATGAAGAGACCAAAAGGCCACTATAAAGGAGAAAGAAAAAATCAAAACAGATTGTAGAAAAGTCTCTGAAATGGCACGTGTCAAGAAGCCAAAACAAAGGGAAGAGATGCTGAAGTAAAAGAGCTAAACAGATGGTTTCAAAGAGCAGTTCAAGAAAACAAAGTGTCATAACAATGTGCAGAGTTGGAAATGGAGAATAAAAAGAAAAGAACTCAGAACTTTTCAATCTAAAGGAAGGGAAAACCAAATTCAAGCCGAGAGTTGCAACAATGAGAGATGCTATGGGTAAAATGTTTAAAGATCCAGGAAGCACTAAAAGAAGAAAATACACAGTTACTATACCAAAAATAACTGAAACATGCCGAAAAATTTCAGGAAGTACCATATGATCAAGAGCAAATGGTGATAAAAAAGAAATGCTCAAGCTTCAGTGAAGGTATTGGCAAAAAATAAGGCCTAAGGAACCCATGGGATATCAACTGACATGTTTCAAGTAACAGATGCAGTGTGGGTTGTGTACTGTGTCGGGGAATTTGGAGGGCAGCTACCTGGTTGACTGATTGGAAAGATCCAGACTTGTTCCCACTGGCAAGGTGATGCAACAGAATGTGGAAATTATTGAACAATATCATTACTATTTTGCCTCCCGACCAATTTTGGCTCCGCCTTGGGGCTTTGTACTTGTAGGCGTGTCAGAAGCTACTGCCGCCAGTCGCTTCTCTATCGCCTGGCCTGGACTTCTGCCCGCGAGGCTTCCAGGCTCCCCTGAGCCAAAATCGGTCGGGAGGCACAGAGGGGAGACTGCCGGACATGCCGCTGGGGGGGCCTGGAAGCCTTTTGAGGAGAAGTCCAGGCCAGGCAATAGAGAAGCGATTGGTGGCAATAGCTTCTGACACGCCTACAGGTACAAAACCCCAAGGTGGAGCCAAAATCTGTCGGGCCTTCGGCCGGCGGCCCTCAGACCCAAAAGAAAAATACAATCTATACAAGAGTTCTATAGGACACATCACCTACCCTTCGTAGACTGTACAACTAAACTTAAGAGAAACTAGACACAGCATAAAGGAAAAAAAATTTTCAGCAGTTGACATGTTCGGAATCACAGAAGCCAAGAAAGCTTCAGATACAAGCTGTCAGATCAGGGGTCGGACAATGGAAGATAAATTCTTAAGG